TTCCTTGGAGAGAGGGCCCTTATCAGTGAGGTTCTCATGTTAGGATGAGTTCTGCTTCCGTGCACAATCCCTCCCTGTGGCAGCTGGGATAGCGAGCATTCAGACAATGACGATACCAGGGCGGGGTGGTGCTGTTGCCAGGGAAACCGGAGCGTTGGGTGGAGGTGGGACTGGTGACCTCTGAGGGTCTGCGTGTCAGACTGAGTCAGTGGGGTGGCCGGCCGGCACTCACCCGTGCCAGGCCACCATCTTGTCCTGTCTCCACGGGAAGGCCTTCCACGGCACCAGGGAGAGACAGGCAGGCCGACGCCCCGCCTTCGCCACCCCGAAGCCAGTCTGGCTTCCTCTTCTTGCCTCATCCAAGCACCTTCCTCGGTCGCAGGTCTGGCCGTGGAAGCTGGAGCTGGAGGGTGTGGGAGGGGCAGGCGTTCTGAGGGCTCCTCCGTGACCTGACCCAGAACCCATGTGTGCCCATCCACGTGAGAGTGAGGACACGGATGGCCTTTTGCAGGCTTCCTGAGAGCCCTGTGCCCCAAGGCAAGTCCCCAGAGGAGGGCCAGGGGCCGCAGGCTGCAGACAAGCTGGCCAACGGCGTCAGGACGGACAAGCGGGCCTGGGACCTGGCCTCCCGCCTCTATCGCCTGGAGGGTTTCCGGAAGTCCGAGGTGGCTGTGCACCTGCGGAAGAAGTAAGGGGCTCAGCCTGAGCGAGGGGCCCTTCCCTTGGGTGAGGCGGGCAGGCTTGCTCCACCATCCACCCCTCCCCAACACTTCAGCCCATTGCTGCCCTCTCACCCCATCGTCCTGTCCTGGTTGTACCCCTCCCCTGTCCAAGCCTTCCTCTTCCTGTCACACTGGTGTCACCCCTTCTCCACACACTTGACCCAGCTTAGAGCCATTGGATTGGCCACTTTGCCTCCCAGCCCTGATCACATGTGGCCCTGCCACCCAGCATGAGGTGGGGGCCGCTACAGATCAGACCCTGGCTGTCCCTTGCCCTCTCGGGTCGCAGGGTCCAGCTGGCTGGGCCTTTGCCTTGCTTGGGGCCCCCAGTCCCAATCCCCAGGCCCTGGGATGTGCAGGCCTGGGGTTCCCCTGCACCTGTGCCTCCCGCCCCCTCCTCCACCCAGACATGATCCCCACTTCCCTCCACAGCAATGACTTCAGCAGGGCTGTGGCTCAGGAGTACCTGTCCTTCTTCCAGTTCGGTGGCCAGAGCCTGGACCGGGCCCTTCGGTAACGCCTGGGCCCTCCCTGGGGAGGAGGGGTGGCCGGGCAGACCCTGCCCGAGCTCGGGGCCTGCTGTCCAGCCGGGGCCTGTCCTGATCCGGGCCTCCTCCCAGGAGCTTCCTCCAGGCGCTGGTGCTCAGCGGGGAGACCCAGGAGCGGGAGCGAGTCCTGTTCCAGTTCTCCAGGCGCTTCCACCACTGCAACCCCGGGCTCTTCTCCTCAGTAGGTAGGAGGGCAGGGCTCCGGGTGCCGCGGGCGGAGGGAGCCTGCTTGGGAGTTCCCTGGTGGCAGCTGCTGGGTGTGCTTGGGGGCTGTGGAGAACCAGAAGCACTTGGGGGTGCCCTGCCCAGTGTGG